CGTCATGTTGGGCTGTCATGTGGGGCTCTGAACGAGAATGCAAACAACGCCGCTCTGACTTCGGCAGAACCACCCCCCGAAAGGGTATAAAAGCAAGGCCCCATTTTTTTGGTAAGTACAACAAGCCTTCTTGGCACTTTCCTGTTTTTCATGTCCCTGTGCTGAGGATGCTGGAAATGCAAGGGATGCAACCGCACAACTTACAGGAACAGACCCAATCTTCGCGCTCAAGATTTTTAAGACTTTCAGATACGCAACATTGACCAAGCACAGAAAATACCAGAGATGTGGGGAATGCTGGGAATGCAGCGGTTTTTCGATATTTCCCAAAAGCAATCATCAAAAACCGATACTAGCAACCCCCCCTGAAATACCATAAAAATAGACTTCCAAAAGCACGATGATGCAGGGGATGTTTCGCAGTAACTGCTCCGTACAGGTGGGGAATTGCAAAAAACTCTCGTTTTTGCAAATTTTGACAGTTCCTCGAAGTATCACTGCACTTGGCCCCACCCAAACCCCTAACAGGCCAATTCCAACATCGCCTGAAGCAGCAAAACACCACTAGTATTTGCAAAAAAGGAAAACAATTTCATGGCAACAAGGCAATCCTGATGATGCTGGGGATGCAGATCCTGCGCGAGGCGAAACGCAGATTTTTAGCACAGCATGCCCAAAAAATAGCAGTCCCAAAAGCCTTCGGCTTTGATAAGAGATTTTGAAGGAAGACCAAGTTGCGGACTGCCATCTACACGCTCGACTGGCGTCGGCGGATTTTGGGATATGTGTTGTTTGGTTAACTATTCTTGAACAATGTGTGTGGCAGAAGGCTTCTCGAAAGTGACCCGTGCAGTCGGCTTAGCTTCAAGCCGCGGTGCGCAAATGACTGCGGTATGGTAGCTTCTTGATGCACGGCCTGATCCATGTCGTGCTGAACCCAGCCCGTGTTGTCCGTTGCCATTTTCCCTCGCAACCCATGCACTGCATGCACTGCATGCACTGCATGCACTGCATGCACTGCATGCACTGCATGCACTGGAGGTTTGGAAGGAATTCATCGTGCATCAGTATGGTCACCGCTTGTGGGACCAGGCGAGAACGCGAGAATGCGCTGCATGTCAAGATGGGCCGAAGTTGATTTAAAGAATTCCAGGCAACCGAGACGTGTGAAGCACATCAGACTGCATCCAACTCCTTTGTGCTGCTGAAATTTGCATTTTTACGCACGTCTTTACGTCTTTGGAAGGTTCAATGCATCTGACTGGCAGGCCTTGCATGCAGAAGCCTTGGATGAGTCCCTCATCCTCCAGCTCAAGCAGCATGAGGACACAATGGATGCGGAAGACTTACGGTAGAATGTGTCCCCAAGGATGAGATGACCCTCGGGATGATGCGGGCATGCTTGTCAGCGGCCGCTGCGAATCTGGAAGATTGCTTCTGCCTCGATATCCTTTCACAAGGTGAGCACTGCTTAGCACTGCTTGTTCTTGTTCTTCACAGTTCTTAGGTCTAGAGGCATTTGGTGCCTTCTTCGTGAGATTCGCCGTGCGGCAAGGCCATTGCCACGTCTTGCCACGTCTTGCACTTGCCACATACTGAAAGGGTCAGGTACAAGGGCGGAGACAAGACACCTAAACATGGGAATCCAGTTTCCTCGGAATTGAAATCTCCAGGCTGGCACCAGTGGCTGCAAGGCATGGGCAATTCCTGGCAGGAAGCTGCTTTTCCAACGGCATGTACTGCTTTCGCATGTGACATATGCCAGGAGTTCATTCAGAACCTCAACGATATGCACCACGTATGGGCCTCAACACGCCCAGGTCGTTCGTTGGGCACGGAATGGCAGGTCCTGGAGCGAGATTTCCGGTCGGCGCGCTTTCCAGTGTTTAAAAGCCGCAGTGGACCCAGTACCCAGTCAGTCGGAGTTGGTGTGAGCTGTGAGCCATGCACTCACTTTGTCCCGATTGAGACCGAAGCGTCGAAGCGCTCTCGACTCCGAGGTCAAGCCGGGACAAGTTTCTACCTTACCTACAGTCCGGCACTCCCGGACTCCCGGACTCCCGGCACACGGGACGCGAGCTCGAACGCGCCTAGGTTCTAGCCGCTTCTTCCCAAGCTTGGCCAAAGGCGTGCGAGCTGCTTGAGCTCTTCGAGCTCTTTGAGTTCTTTGAGTTCTTGGAGTTTGAGCTGTCAGGTATTGTGACGGAGATCTCGGACGCGCTTTTCGATGTGAGCCATGGCTCAGGCAAAGGCAGATTTGCTCATCGCTCGCACAGGTTCATTTGGAGTTGACAGAGATCAGCGACTTTCTCAGAGCTGAGTTTTCACTTTCCGCGCGCATCCATCACGTACAAGGTCGCGAGAAGACGGAAGTTACCTGGAAGGTGCGGGGGAAGTGGGGTGTGGCAGATTCTTGCATTGCCTTGCGACGAGACTCTGAGACTGAGGTGACCGAGAGACCATCACAACGATGTGGGCCGCCCAGATTTTTGCCGCAAGG